ATGTAAAGGTGAATTGAGAGGAAGGAAAGAAAATTGCCTTGATACCTAAAACCCTGCAAACGCCCAGCCAGTGTTCCGGGAGATAGTCCGGCATCCCTCCCTTCACTTCTTTCACGTGCCATGCTCGAAATCTTTGTAGGATCGTTTCCTTCTGGGACTCCTATGGGGCGAGTTTTCCTCTCACCTTCCACAGGGATTCTCATCCTCCCTTTCTAGTTTTGTTTTTTTAAGATTTTATCATTTATTTGACAGAGAGAGACACAGCAAGAGAGGGAACACAAGCAGGGGGAGTGGGAGAGGGAGAAGCAGGCTTCCCGCTGAGCAGGGAGCCCGATGCGGGGCTCAATCCCAAGACCCTGGGATCATGACCTGAGCTGAAGGCAGACACTTAACGACTGAGCCACCCAGGCACCCTCTCTCTTCCTAGTTTCATCTAACCTCTTAGTTACTCATCACTGGGGCAGTTATGTCCAGTACAGTAGGTGAAGCTCCCTATGTAATCCGCCCTCTGTTGCGTGAGCCCAGCTGGGCTTCTAGACTCTGCGTGAGCATCTTGCGGTTAACAGCTTTGCACAACTGGAATGAGCCGTAATGACTGAGCTACCTTGAAGAAAGTAGGCGTGCTGAATTGACCATGAAGAAATTTGGCATTAAAAAAGTCTAGGGGCACCTGAGTGGTGCAGTTGGTTAAGTGTCTGACTTTTGATTTTGGCTCAGGTCATGATCTCAGGGTCAGGAGATTGAGCCCTGCGTTGGGCTTTGCACTCAATGCGGAGTCTGCTTCAGATCCTCCCTCTGCCTCTCCTGCTCATGCTCTTTCTCTCTCAAATAAATAAATCTTTTTTAAAAAGTCTAGATGCTTCTGTCTAAAATGCTTTGTAAACTAGAATATCCTATAGAAATAAGGTATTAACAGTAGTTAATTCTGCTGTGTTAAGTGTAGTGTTCTTTGAATCAGTTGGGCATCCCCAAAACAATGATCATTTTTAACTACTGGAAGAAGGGGAGACATTACTACATCACTGAAATTGGGATTTTATAGAACTGCTCACTTAGTCGTTCCATCTGGCCAGATTGTCATGTGCAAATTCTCTTAGCCATATTGTTCCTGGGGGCAGAACACTGTGCATACCCTTGCAGACTGGAGGGGGTTATCTTAGTCCATACTATGCCCTTCCTCCTACTATTACCAGGGACGGAGGCCTATTGGAAGAAACAAACCTGGAAAATATTTTCCACATGGTCGCAAATACCCTACAGAGATAAAATTGCACATACATATCCGTATAAGGAAAAAAAGAAGCTAAGTTTATTTTTAAAAAAATCAAATTAGGGAGCTCAAAGTACCAGCATATTTTAGTCAAGGCAGCCATGATTATAAAAGGAAATATTTAAATTTTTGGTTTGGATGAATCGAAAATATTCAACACAAAAACCTTAATTTATTAAGTTAAAGATTCTACATAGTTCTTAAGACTGAGATTCTGGTTGGATTGAGTTGGATGCACTCCAATGGTAGATCAGCTCTCCTGATCCAATCAGCAGGAATCATTGGTTAAGAACTTCCTGCATCTTACAGTATCTGCCAAGAAGCAGATGGTGTTTAGATTTCTAATAGGTAATGTCACTGCAATGGTGCTTCTCCTTTTCCAGATGCTTTCCCCCGGGGGGCGTTGGAACTGTTAGAACTGCACTTTACAGGAGCCTGGTTACTGTTTCCATGAATAAGATCAAATGGTGTTTATCCTCCATCGATCAGTACCGTCTTGTTTAAACTGATTGAGTCATTTAGAGACACATCAGGTAATGAAAACAATTGTGCAACAGTACCCAGCATACTCCCCAGCTTGCTGAGGGATGACAGGATTTTAAAAGACAGTTATTGAAACAGATTTATAACATCAACTGGCTGTGTGATGAAATGAACACCCACCACCGCAGGCTGCCCCATGGGTTTCAGAGAAAAGGGCATTGGGCATTTAGCTAAGAGTTTCCTTGAGCAACATTCTCTAAAATAAAAGCATACTGTGTTTTGTTGTTGTTGTTGCTGTCTTTTTAGAATAAAAGAAAATAAGAGGTTTTGTTTTTTTGTCTGGATAAATAGAATACGTTTACTCCTGTGACTAATCAGGACTGTATTATTTGCGTGTAGTTTTTGATTTACTATATCAGTGGAGTTTTTTTTTATTATTATTGTATCAGTAGAGTTTTGACAAAGAGCAGCTAATGGGTAAGTTTGGAAAGTTTCAGGATATTTTTTTGGAGATGATTACAAATAGAGAAATGGGAAGGGGAAGAGAGTTTTGCCAAATTCCTGCCAAGTGCCAGGGATGATGCTTTAACTATTTTGCTATGTCATCTCATTTAATCTTCACTGAATTCTGCAGGGTGGATTCATGGCACACTCGAGGAATCTGAGATTCAGGGAAGTTAAGTAGTGTGCCTGAGGCCACACAGCTCAGGAGTTTGGGAACCTGCCTTCCAGCCACGCTCTGTCAGGAGATGAGTCTGGTGTTCTTTCTAGAATTAATCTGGAAAGTCTCTGAGAGAGGCATGGTCCTGTTTGATGGAAGACAGCTAAGCCATCAGGTCCCTCAGATGTTTTCAGTTGTGGTGATTTCAGTTGGTTCTGGTTTTATGAATGCTGGATGGGAGCTCTAAAAGGGATTTTTTCTTTCTTAAACTGTGTTCTGAGGAATCCCATTTCAGAGACATGTTAATAGATGTTCCTGAAAGATGTTCTGTTATAAATGAAGCTGAGGAAATGAAACATCTCAGTCCTAGATGCTTAGAAGTGCATACATTTACACACATAGTAAATCCTCAGTCCCTGTGAGGACAGTTACGATGGTGACATGTGTGGGCTCCGGAGTCAGACCACCTGGCTGGGGAATCTGGCTCTTTGCTTCCCAACTGGGTGATGTGGAGCCTTCTAGGTAACTAATCCCTGCTCAATTTTCTCATTAGTAAAATGTTATAATAGTATCTACCTCATAGGACTGGTTTAAGAATAATATAGATGAATGCATGGAAAGTGCTCAGGACTACACTTGGCCATATAATGCTCAATCAACATCTGTCATTGTTAGTATTGTCCACCTAATAACAAGACCTGCTTTAAAGTGTCTACCTTTCCTCAACTTGACAACAGGGTCACCTTTTTTGAGCCACATTATTAATGTCCACTGAATAAAGTGTAAGAAATGTCATATTCGAAATGACACAAAACAACTTGGTATTATTAGCCCAGTTAAAAATAATAAATAAATATTCAGCGTTTTTCCTTTCCATCCTGTCAATTCATATTTGCCCACTAAGTTTTTTTTTGTTTTTTATTTTTTAAATTTTTTTTTTTAAGATTTTATTTATTTGCGAGAGAGAGAATGAGAGACAGAGAGCATGAGAGGGAGGAGGGTCAGAGGGAGAAGCAGACTCCCTGCTGAGCAGGGAGCCTGATGTGGGACTCAATCCCGGGACTCCAGGATCATGACCTGAGCCTAAGGCAGTCGCTTAACCAACTGAGCCACCCAGGCGCCCTGCCCACCAAGTTTTTTTTTTTCCCTTTCTTTTTCCCAATTCCCTTCCCCCTTCCCTTACACATGACAAATAATAAATTGGAACAGCAAAATGTGAGAATTGTCTCAAATGGGCAGTATCAATATAATTCCAGAAAATATGGCCCTGAAATATGAACCAATAAGTCATTTGTCTATTATTCTGTATTTAGCAGGGGAAGGCCTTGGCCCTTTAACAAGTAAATGCTCTTATTCTAGTAAGCACTGTTATCTCCGGACTTATGTTCCTACTGTGTATGCCTCAGCACATTATCATAAAGGATATTTCAGACCAGACCAACATATCTTTGAAGCTTCTAAATTCTAACAAAAGTTGAGCTTGTCAGTGTATATTTTGCAAAACACTAAACCTGCACAGTGCACAAATAATACTGTGTTCCTCACCTTCTTGAAGATACACAGTACACATCTGAACAGTCCTACCGTAAATACACTTGTTTAACTTTGAGCCCATTCTCCTTGGAATTCGTTTTCATAATCATGGAACAAAGTATTTCAATCAGAGTTTAAGAGATTTTTGGTAGGAATGGATGTTCCTGTTAAGTGCTCTGACACCTTCCTTAAGATACAGTCGTAGCGTATTTTGGTTGTGAATCATCTTTCTGGAGTGAACAAAATGATCATGTGAAAAATATATCCACAGCAGCACGGTTGCCCAAACCAACCCAAGAAAAAGATCTAATAATTAGCTATCCCCAAGGTTGAGATTTAACACATTCAAAGCCAGTCATTTTCCATGTCTGTTTTTGTTTTCTTTTCTTTTTTTCTTTGCTAGAATGAAAAGCGAATAGCTTAAGGCATTCCTTTGGTGAGTAGGATCCTGGGAAATGAAATAGCAAGAATTCACCAAGGTGATTTTGGGTGGGTTTATTTTCTGTGGGCTTTTGTGTTTTAGATTTTGGTTTCGGGTGGTTGCGAAGGACAAAGGTGAGGGAAGGAGAGAGTTGAAAATATGAAATCTAAGGTATGATAGGAATTACGACCTACACAGAGAAGTCAGAATCTGCCAGTGATGTTAATGCTTTTCCTCTTTTAATTACATTTTTTATGTTTCCAGGGGGTCCTAGGACCAGGATAAACAGTCAACCACAATGCTCCCAGCTATCTGGCCATTGCTAAATAAACTTCTCGGAAACATTAGCCCTGCTCTTGAACCCAAGGTGGTAAATCTACTCTTTAGCCCCAGAAATTGATTACATCAAGAAGCCGAAGATGGCTGCCATTTCATTCTGAGATTATATGATTCTTCCAATATATTCTCTTGTTTTCAGGTTGCTCCATTAGTATAAAAACCAGCCAGAAAGTGCCCTGCATTAGGCTCTCTAATAGAAGAGGATAGAAGCTCTTCTCATTGCATTCCCACTGAGCCACACTGCACAGTTTCACAGAGTTGAAGCAAGAAAAAGCAAAACACATGGACTGTACCTGAGTGATCAGAGATCCCCACCCGGAAAAGGTTTCCTTGATTATGGAGAATTCAGCGTGTCACTCTGGTTATGCTCTAATCAACATATCAAACTCCAAAGGTTCATTGGCTTTAGGTTTGGTTTACAATTCCTGAAAGTTAAACTTTAACTCGCTCTGTCCCTCTCATCCATACAGCCCTTTGACCAGATAACTGGGTCACTATAGCCCACAGAATCTACAAAACAGCCAGGCTCCTTTGTTTACAACATTAAAATATATTTTGCCTTAAAAACAGTTGATGTGAATAATGCTTTTGAAGCTGTTTTTGCGAGTTACGTATTTAAAAAGCAGAACTCGCTGCAGTTTGGGTAACTATGCTTTTATTTATGTGAGCTTCCCTGTTTTCTGTTCCGTCAAAGGGATATGAAGTCTAAGGTAAATTTGGGAGAGTCTTTCTTTCTTCCTTTTTTATTCATGCTTTTTTATATCACTGTATTGCATGGAGTAAAGTGTGGAGTTTCAGGTCAAGTATGCAGATAAATGCTGGCTTATAAAAATGAAATACCCAAAGCATTTATGTAACCAAGTAAATAGGGTCGGATTGGGGTGGGGAAACAGGCTTCTTTTTTATGCAAGCTGCTCCTACGGATTTTAAGAGGGCCCATTACTGTGAAAGCGTAACTGTCAGCTGTGGACTGGGTTACGGGAGATCCGAAGCTTGAAGTTCATGGCTTGAAACCTCAGTGGTAACTGTGTTTCTTGAAGAATAAAGGAAGTGACATTTTCAAAGATCTAACCTCGAGATTCTAAGTTCTCTGGTAAGAGCTCTAGTGTGTGGAGGAAATTCTTAAAGGTATAAAGCCCACCTAAAAAAAAATTTAAAAACTCAAAGCCCTCCCAATTTTGAGTACATTTTGGCTTAAGGGTTTAGAAGCCACCAGCCCCCTAGAATTAGAGGCTACCCTCACTTGGTTTCAGTTCAAATAAGAGGAGTCTGATTTTCTAGGAGCCAACTATTAACAGAAGCACGTGGGCCACAGGAAAGTGCAGAATGAACAATCCTTCCAGAATATGGACATAGAGGAAGAGGCGTCAAACACGCACGTGGGAATCTAAAATGCTGGATGTAAAGCTTGTTGCCGGAATGTTCGTTCTGCTTCCAGTTTTCAGTTCTCAGACTTGTGGAAGCCTTGATTTGCTTCCGCTTCTCCCAAATCGATGCGTGACCAGGGGTGACAGAACACGCGCTATGCCTTGGAGTTGTGCCCTGGGAGTGAGCTCTGCAGGGGTGGGGGGGGAGGACTCAAGCTCCTTGTAGCTGCACTGCTGCATGAAGGACACACCCCTGGACAAGACCCTGGGACTGGACCCCCCATGGAGTAGTTTCCCTGGTTATTCCGGAGAAAGCTCAGCCTGGGCTCCAACAGTTCCCACATGGATGGGGAATCCTGACCTTGACTTTGCCTGGTCCTGCAGAGAATGGTTGATATTTTAAAACTGTTCGTCCTGGGAGGGTTTTCTTTGTCATGTTGCGAGGTAGGTGCCAGATGGTGAGAAGTAGAGATGAGGAGAAAAGCCCGGGATTTTAGGTGTCTGGTGGAAACAGAAAAACGCAACAGGTAAAAGTAGGCATTTATTAACTAGTTAATAAAAAGAACTGGTTTCTTATTTGAGGGGTCCTGGCGTTCAACAAGATAGGGCTGTACTCATGTTAAACCAAAGTGTTTGAAAATAAGTTAAAATAGCCCTAAAGCCTGATAATTAAATGGGACAATTGACATATGAATCATAAGAGGAAAGACAGTAATGCATTTGGTGTCATTAGGATATTGCTGGAAAGTTTTTTATTTTCTAAATCCTCTCTTTTTGCAGTGATAGGGATATAACAGTCCACAGTAAACAGGGAAATAATGAACAATCTCTCTTGCTGGAGGGTACTTAAGGGGACAGTCTGTGGCACGGGGACAAGGGGAAATCACCCCATGACCCTGATCCCATCAGTCCAGTCAAGGGAAATAACTGTACCCAGAATGGCTGGGGTTAGCCCTTCTGGGGCCCCATTCTCCAGGGAGGGACAAAGCCATAATCCGTCAACCGTTATCCAATGCAAACAAAAACAAATCATTTTAAGTAGTAGCTGGTAAGTATTTTTTCATTTGTTCTATAAATGATCACCGAGGACCTACTATCTGCTGAGCATTGTGTGAGATGAGTGGTTATTTCAAATGAGGGTTGAATCTATTAGCAGGCTGTAAACTCAATAAACTGAGTTGTAGCCAACATTTTTAAAACAGAGTAGAAAATGGGCGCCTGGGTGGCTCAGTCGGTTAAGCGACTGCCTTCGGCTCAGGTCATGATCCTGGAGTCCCTGGATCGAGTCCCGCATCGGGCTCCCTGCTCGGCAGGGAGTCTGCTTCTCCCTCTGACCCTCCCCCCTCTCATGTGCTCTCTCTCATTCTCTCTCTCTCAAATAAAGAAATAAAATCTTTAAAAAAAAAAAATAAAACAGAGTAGAAATTATCAAGTGAATTGCATGCAGAAGGGGCATGTTCATGAAACTTTTCTGTTTTTTGTGTGTGTGTACTGGTTATGATCTAAAATTTATTGTGAAGCACAATTTTAAAAGCTTCAAAATAATATGTTAGTCTTCGGGGATTCAAGAGTTGACAAACTGGATGCAGAAAATACACATTAAGCAAATACTCCCCAAAATACTTAATTAAATAGAGTTGGAATAAGTATTACAAAAGAGGAGTACAGGATGCTAAACAAAGCTTTCAACATAGGGACCTAAGCTAGTGTGGACCTGGGAGGGAGTTGAGGAAACTTCCAGAACATCCGAGACCTGAAGGGGGTAGGCGCGAAGGTGGACATTACTGCAGGTAGAAATAGCACAGTGTGAATGACTTTGGCACATTCAGATAACTGATAGAAGGCCAGGTGTAAGGGGCAAGTGAGGGAAAGACTCTGGATCCACAGACTTCCCGTGCTGTCCCCAGGCAATGGGAAGTCACTGGAAGGATTTTAAGAAAGTGAACCACATGATCTACTTGTATATTTTGGCTGTAAGGTTGAGAATAAATTGTTGTGGGATAACATTGCCTACCTCTTTCCTTTTTAAAAAATCAATATGTGCTTGTCTTAGAGTCATTTATTCACATATATATTCAAATAAAAGAGATTTGGATTTGAGGCAGGTGAAGTATTTGACAGACCAGTTAGAGAGGTGGCAAGTAATGGTGGTTGAGATTAGGGTGGTGGAACTGGAGCAAGAAAGAATGGATGAAGGAAGAAATATGCAGAGTGGTCCATAGTGAATGCTCATTAAATGCTAGTTTTCAGCAATCATTTGCATGTGAATTATTTGGCTTATGGATTTTAACTAATCTTGCCTTAAATATCCAACTGACTTTGCCACCCTGCAGAGCTGGAATTTTTGGGTAAAAAGCACTGATTATTTATTGATGGTTTAGGTAAAACATAAAGCTTTAAAAAACTTCAAATGTAATTAAAAACCAAAGAGTACCAATAGCAAGAAGTTTCCCTCCTAGCCAAAATCCTCCCTCTCCTACCTCAAAAAAAGATTTCTTCACTGTTCTCAATTTCTTAAGAGTTCAAAATACATTTTAGGTGTTTAATGGGGGTATTTAATGAATTGGAATGGAGTATTCTTAAAAATGAAAGGGCCGTGCCAGACACACTATATAGGGCAAACGTCTAATTCTCTCTTCTTGTCTATGGTGTAGAAAGAACTCTGAGCCAGGAGCTGGGACTTGGGGAATCCAGTGCTAACGTTATCATTTATGAGCTGTATCACTAATGAGCTATCGCACAGGAGTAACCTCGAGCAAGTTTCTGCCCCTTGTGTGAGTCTCAGTGTCCTTGCCTTTGATGAGGACAACATCTCCCCCGTGGTTATGGAGAGGGTCAAATGAATTGGCATATGTGAAAGTGATTTGAAAATACTAGGGTACTATCGGAGCGCGGAGTGGAATAATTACAGAGCAAATTAAACCTACATCCTCAAGGCTATGTCAGTGCTGAGTTTGAATCTGTGAAATAAGAACTTCGAGGAGGTAAGCCTACTCTTTCAGAGGTGCCCAGCGTTTTAAACCCGAAAGCTTGGTGCTGCTCTTAATCCCTCTAAGACTTGGGAAGAGAGCAGAATTTGATCTACAAGGTTAGAATCCGTCTGTTCTCTGCTATCGCATCTCAGGGTTTTAGACTTGTGAAACGCATTGGTTTTGTAACTAGAGCCATCTAGTGTTGAATTGATTAAAACATGCACATGTGCACACGCACATGCGCACGCACACGCGCACACACGCTCCTTTGCTTTGTGCTCTAGGAAATAGCATTTGGTTCTCCTGACACCTTTGAATAGTGTTTTCAATATGGCCTAATTGTAGGTCATATTACAGTTAGCCTGGTGAGGGGTATTAAAGAGGGCACGTTCTGCATGGAGCACTGGGTGTTATGCACAAACAATGACTTGAGGATTTATCTAGTCCAGATTCCCTCTAAAAATCATGGCAGCACGTGGGACACGCCACACTCTGTCCTTTAAACATCAGTGGAGTATCTTCCTCTTCTCGGTCCCTGTTCTTTCTCATAGTCATTCTTGGGTTTGGTGAATGATCTTGAAATTAGAGTTTCCAGATGTTGCATCATTTTATTTTTTTAAGCAATATTATTAGTTCAGCCCCAAAGCAAAAGCAAATACTGGTTTTTGTAAAAGAACAATTTTAGGGAAAAAAACCCGGTACCAATCTGGTATTTTCCTTTATTAATATTAGAGAACACCGGTCATTGGGTCTTTAATCTGTTTAATTTGCTGTGCTCTATTTTCTTTACTGTAAAGAAAAACTTCCCACAGAAAGATCTCTCCTAGCTTTCAGATAATTTCTTCAGAAGGGTTATCACATCATCTCTCTCTCTCTCTTTTTAAAGTAGACTCCACACCCAGCATAGAGCCCAACATGGGGCTTGAACTCATGACCCTGAGATTAAGACTGGACTTAGCTGAGGTCAAGGGTCGGACACTTAACCGACTGAGCCACCCACGTGCCCCAGATCATCTCTTTTTTTAATGATCATGTCATC